AAAAGTATAAAAAATATTTGCCGAAACTTTTCAAAGAAATTGCAAAGATGCACAATTTACAGCATTGCATTCTCTGACATTTTCTGAACCTTTGCAAATCGATTTATAATTTAAAAAGGCATTCTACGTATAAACAAAAGAATGTACTTCAATTTAGTATAAGTTTTATCTAAATCTATTAACTTTTAGTATAAACAATATTTACCAAAACTTTTCCAAAAAATTGCAAAGATGCACAATTTACAGCATTGCATTCTCTAACATTTCCTGAACTTCACATGCTAAATTAAATTAAACTTATGACTGTAATAAAAATGATGTTATATTGACTTATGAACACAACTATCAAGTTGCTGAGGAAGTCCCAAATATAGGGACGAAACGTTCAACGGATAAAGAGATTGTTCATTTAACTTAAACCTGTCCAAAAAAAAAACATCCCTAAGAATTAAACTTAATAATAATGTTTTTGATAATGATTATTAATTAAAAAAACTAAACATGATATCATATAGACAAAGACGACGACGACAACGACAGAGATACGATCTTACTTGATTATGGACGGTGGTTGTGATTAGGTGCCGTTGCAACTCGAGTGGTGAATTTTCACGAAGTATTGCCGCAATTTTACCAGAATCGACATCCTTCACGTGGGTCACTCTCGTAGGTGATACTAGGACGGAATCCAATGCCCCCAACCTGGCTCTTCTCTCGATCACGCTAGCTTCGATATCGAATTCCCGACGTTCACTGTCAACGTGTGCTGCCACCGCGTCCAACAATACATTTTTTTCTATGGTCCTCGTCCGAAAACGACTCTTATGATTTTTCGCAACCGACGCGAAAGCCGAGGACTTGCTTTTGATGTTACTAACATTAACACTTTTAGGTGTCGACAATACAACCGGAGCTATCGGTTGCAATCTCTGTGCACCCGGTGACAAAAGATCCGAATCGTTGTATTCGGCCTTCAATCTATCCTCGAGACCAGTTTTCAATGCTGACAATGCAGCCAATTCCGTTTGTAATTCCTGTGCACGGGCACGACTCGATATCGTCTCGGCTTCTAATTCGGCAACCTTATCCAACAATTGTTCCTTTTCCCTTCTCAAAAGCCTCACTTGGGATTCTCTAGGATTGTTACTCTTGTCGAGTTGAAGATCGGTTGTTTGGTGGTGGTGGTGGTGTTCGGTGCTATCCAAATGGGTTACCTTTCTAACGGCTTCCAAAACGTCGTCGCCAGAGGCAAGGTCCTCGGTGGTGACACTTTCCAAACGACCTTGGAGACACTCGACTTCCTCTCGAAGCCTGATACCCTTCCGATGTATGACGTCGAGGAGATTCCATAGTTCATCTTCGGCCTCGTCCAACAAAACGCCAGCCCGAGGGCTGCTAGGTCTTGGGGCTATCGCTGTAGATGCACTGTCCTTCGACGAGGTCTCCGTACTGAACCCGGAATCCTGAACGGTTGCACTGCAGTTGTTTTTGGTACCCCCGCTTTGAGAATTGCTACGACTTCTTGGCAACGATGAGGAAGACTCGGTTGCTTGTTGTTGTTGTTGTTGCTGCTGCTGTTGTTGTTGCTGTTGCTGTTGTTGTTGTTCCCTTGCTACTACTCGTCTCCTAACTTTACCCGGTTCCCATTCGCTAACCCTTCTCGATGATGGGCTCGATAAAGGCAACGGTATATGGGAATTCTGGCTGGAGGACATCACGGACGCACCCGCCGACGCCGTCGCAGCCATCTTGTGCCGGAGGTTTGGGAACGTCTCGATGACGAGGTCCCGGAACTCGAGAAGGGCGCCGACCTCATTCTGCAACTCCTGCAGTGCTACCAACGACTTCGCTTGCTCGTTTATCAAATAATGGAACGGCCCTGGACGGTGGGGCATGCAATCCATGCCACTTACTACACCGCTACTACTTACTACAACGTTGTTGCATTCGTTTCTTCTGTTGTTTACAACACCACCACCACCACCACCACCTACAACAACACCTCCAACGACGTTGCTATTGCTGCTACAGCTGACCACCACACCCTCTGTCGAACCTCCACCGCTGCTGCTGCTGCCGCACTGTTGCTATTGTTAAACAAACAATTTGATTTTTTTGAGTTTCATTTCGTTAAATTATTTTACACATTCTTATTTCTATATATATATATCTATTGGGTTGGCAATTAAGTAATTGCAGATTTTAAATGAGAAAGAAAATACCTAATTTTTTCTGACAAATATAACTTTCATTCAATTAAGTACTTGTCCGTTTTAATTCGATGTTCTTTTGCCATTTGTTTAGGCAGTGTCATAATTCCACGTTCATCAAATTTCTGATCTCTGCTAGCAAACAATTGAATTCAATGAGATTTCTTGTGTATCAATACAATCCGCAATCATTTGATTGCCAATCCAATATATTATTAATTAATTAATTAGAATATGACTGACACGGAAAGTACAATTGATGATTCATTTGATTAGTTAACGAAAGAATATATAGACTTTTACGTCATTTTCGAAATAAACAATAAATAAAACAATGAAGAATAGATAAATATTAGAGAAGCTTTTTGTTTTTTTAAATCAAGAAATTATATATA